AAATTAAGATGTGGGGGGAGGACATACCAGAGAGGGCTTCAAGAGAGAGTGATGAAGGCGTTCCCGTTTGTAATGCTGTTCACAGACTGCTTACAGAAGAGCTGATTGGTATTCAAGCCACTGTTTGACTTATGTCTTTAGCGCATTAATTTTAATGAAAAATGTGTTCCACTTGGCCAGTCATTATTTCCTCCTCCTACTGAACCGGTTCACTGGCCTTACTCTGCCTGTATCTGTTTGATTTTAACTCCTGGTGTCATCAAAACTCCCTTACATCTGATAATCCTATACCTTTCCACTTGTGTAAAGGTGCAAAGACAGGATTAAAGGCTGGATGAGTACATATGAATACATAAACCTCCCTAATGCTGTATCTTACAAAAAAATACCAAAAGGTGTTTTATTATTCTAATGATTACAGCAATAATGGACCAAGCGTTTGAGGACTGGCGTTTGGTCTTTTCGTGACGGCTGAGATAGACATTTTTCAGAGTGTTATCTCTCACAACAGGAACAGACCATGTCCTCAGTGTTCCTTTGTGGTCTATAGTGAAATGTTGTATCAATAAAATACCAAGACAGTAGATGGCAGGTATGAATTATTGAAAGGCACAGTGGTTCAGATGGGGGTTCTAATCTCCACAGTGCAGTTAATTTGATGTTCTTGTTTTTCTGTTTTTGGATTCAATCTGCAATGCACCATCCGTTGCTGAAAATACCGCGGACAGGGAGGAACAGACCGGTGGGAACTAAATGAATGATCCACTGACTCTAATGTCCTCTGCCAGCCAAGGTCTTGCTTAATAAACCTCAAGATGAGATGGGCGTGTGAGAAATAACGTGATCAAAAATAAGCCTTGTCAATTCAAGCCCACACACCTGAAGCTGTAGCTGATAATGAAAGTGGAATTTGTAATGAGGGCGAGTATTGTGTGTGCGTGTGTGTATGTGTGTGTGTGTTTGTGGGAGGGGGTGGAAGGTGGGTTCTAAGTACATCTTGCCATTCAGGAGCCACACAGGCTTAAGGGGATATGTTTAGTAACCTGTATCAACATTCTGGAGTGAATATCAATATCTAAAGCAGGCAGTTGATCAGTGGGAAATGTTCGCTCAGCCAACTGCTGATCTGAGCTCTCATTTATCTCTCTGGAAAAGTCCTGTGTTGCCTTTCACACGAACAGCAGGTGGGGTCTGGTGCAGTGACACATCAAGCCTTTAATGGAATACAATCAGCCGGCTCAAGATTCAACAAATTGGTCAATAAGGACAATAGGTTATTATCTTCCAGCCGCATCAGGATGGGGGAATTAAAGTCCCAGGCTTTCTAATTAGTCGTTCTCATTTTATCATAATCGATCTGAAACGAGTGAGGAGATACCCGCCATCAGCAGAGAATTTGGAGGGAAATTTTCTCTGGTAAAATGACTGCTGCTGTGAGCCTGATAGCTGCCGATATACTTTTCAGCAGCTGTATGTTCATAAAACTAATGTGCTCTTTTGCACTGTCAGTGAGGAGAAAATGGGGCAAATGATAGAAATAGAGTTTTATATTCTCTAATATACCTTAAAGTGGAGATGAAGTAGAAAGAAAAATGAACATTATCTATACATTAAAGAGTTTGCATTCTGTGTGTTTGGGAACATTTGAATTGATATTTTTAGCGCATTTACCAACATGTAACAAAAGATCTGGAAATGCATATTGGTTTATGAAAACTGTCGACAAAGCATAGTGGGGTGACTTTATGAAGTGGTGAGAAGTCGAACTGAAACTTGAATTCTCCTCACTTTTTGGGGGGGGGGGCGGGCTGGAGCCAATCCCAGCTGACATTGGGTTAGGGCATGGTACACCCTGGACACGTCGCCAGTCCATCACAGGGCCGACACATAGAGACAAACAACCACTCACACTCACACCTACAGGCGATTTAGAGGCGCCAATTAACCTAAACCTGCAAGTCACACTCCACACAGAAAGGCCCAAGCTGGCAGGTTCGAACCCATTGCTGTGAGGCGACAGTGCTAACCACTATGCCATGATATAATGATATACAATAAAATGATACTTCAGCTATTATGCATATTTCTCCATTTTTCTGAAGAAGATAAATGTGGAAGCTTGTAGAGGTGTGTGCATGAATTTCATCACTGGAGCATTTGTGATCAGTGTCGGGCAGTAACGCTTCAGTTAGAAATTCATTACACTAGTGTGATTAGTTTAGTCAGTAATGAGTAGTGTAAGGGAGTAAAATTTAAAACTCAGTAACTACATTACAGTAATTTATCCCAGTAACACTGTCTTACATTGACATTTGTGGGTAGACTTGTTCACTGTCTTACTGGGAGTTTGATCTTTGTGTGTTCAGTGGGCAGACTGGTCCAGGATATGGGATAGCTGTGTGCAGTCACATAGGCTAAGCTAGCTGCAGGATGGTCCAATTGTTGTCTGCCTGCTTGTTAAACAACTTGAATACAAAAGATGCAATGTGTGTGTGTGTGGAGGATTTGAAGTTATGTAGCTTTACTTTTGCTGCTCAGTGATTAGTAACATAATGTAATTACTTTTACTATGAGTAACGAGTAATAAGTAATTGATTGCAGTTAGCAAGTAACTTGTCCAGCACCGTTTGTGTTTGTTTGTCCCAAACAACCAGTGAACCAACTGAACATTATTTTGTAACACACAACAGCCCTATGAGTGGGTGTGCGTCAGTGTGTGTGTGTTCCTGGTCTCAGTCATCCTCTTGACTGTCAGTGAACTCACCAATAACTCCAGTTCTTTATGTTATTCCCCTCCAGTCAATCTCCCTTTTCCTTTGAACATTTAAACTCCTGTGGATGTTTCTTTGCGTCAGTTCTTTCTGCCCCTGGGCATCTAACTGCGTTTTTCCATTGACTGTGTATGCAATTGCACTGCCTCTAAAACTTGCATGAAAAATTATTTTTGTGTGTGTGTGTGTGTGTGTGTGTGTGTGTGTGTGTGTGTGTGTGTGTGTGTGTGTGTGTGTGTGTGTGTGCCAAAAACGATCTATCACAGATAATGCACCACTCATTTGTCATTCACTACCAAAGATTCAAACCACAAAACACTAGAGTAGGAGGCACTGTCATTGTAAAAAAATAAATAACAATTGTATCTCTTGTATTTGGTAATTATAATTATGAGAAAGTAAGTACACAAATCAAAACAAACACCAAGGATATATGTATACTGATTTATTACCCAAAGTTATTTTTTAATTTCAGTTAGACTTCAGCTAACAAATATAAAATATTTGGCATTACAGTAATATGGTAAGGATATTATAACTTTTGTGTTATAATAAGGAAAGGCACAATAAACGTCAGTCTTTGTCAGTCGAAAATGTTTTGCTTCAATTTCAATTAAATATCTGCCCTCCATCATAGATCCTGTTTGGTGAACATAACCACATACTGCTCTCTGCAGGATCTATGTCTTTTACCAAAGAAAATATATACAAGGAGACATTTCATACAACCCCCAACCTACACATCCTCCAATATTATTAGAAGCAGCTTGTCTTTAGCTTCCATCTGGCAGAAATAATTTACATCAATGGCAACATAACATGCAATGGCATTTAATGTCCCCACAGCTCAGTAGTGGATGCCTGTGGCACTGTGATGTACGTTCAATTCCTCCGCTGAGGATGATGTGAGGCGACAGTGGATTTGGTCAGGATTGGTGTGACAAGCACTCTGTGAACAGGGACCCATCCTTGAAAAAGCAGCCACAAATGATATTTCCTCTTTCCTGTGCACCTGCTGACCAAGCTAAAGACCCATGTTTCCATCAAAGATAGAACCCGAGATCAGTTCTCATCAACTTATGAACTTACAAACAAACTCTTTTGTTGGAAGAAAGAAATATAAAATTAGGATGGATTAGCAAATGATGATATATTGCAGTTTTGGATATCTAATATGCAACAGATCACATAATTGGCATATTTACTGCATTCAGAATCCTGTTTTCCAGTTATAAATAAAGTGCCATTATTCAAATCGTACACAGAAACATGTTAATGTTTAGCTCTGCTATCAAAAAAATTGGTACACGGTGAACGCTCAGGGAAATCTGTCTTTCTAAATCTATAAAGCCTCAATTATTCACACACCCTCTGGTCATGTCTTGTATAGTGTTATCTGCATTGTAACACTACATTCACAAGTTTCCTTCTAGACAAATCAAACAGTATTTGTCAGAATAAATGGCACAGTCTCACAACTAGAATTCACACAACAAAGAATTATAACACACAGTCTGCCAGGGGCTGTAGTAGAGCTGCTTCATTAACAATGCATTTGAAGATAGGGTGGATTATTCCTTTAAATAAGTGCCAAAGCAAAAAGATGCACAAAGCTGCAACAGATGTGTAAATCACAGCTCATGAATGAGTCACAAATCCAATTCATGATGCTGAAACTTTGCAGAGCAGATTAAACATACAATATTATTGCTTTCACACACACTATTCCTATTCACATGTTCGCATTTGTTATTCACTCATGCATAGGAACATTTCTGAAAAGGTTTGTTTGTTTCTCATCTCTTCTCTTTGTGAGCCTGAGTGGTCAGGACAGCATCAGCTGGCATTAGCCAGCCTTAAGGCTTATCTATTAACAGTATAGAAGCTCTGCTCTCTGGAGCAAACTGAGGAGTCAATGTGAGTTTGTTTTATACACCTATTGCTCCCTGTAGCCCTGAGGTCATAAGAAATCATTAAAGATGTATTAATGGCTTAGAACGCTCAGTCAAAGCCACATCTGAGCAACCATCTGTGACTGTACATGTGGTAAACAAAAGGAAAAAAAAAATTAAAACCACATGTTAAATGGCACAAAGGCATTCATAAACAAAATGCTTAAGAATTAGCTTTTTTCTGGGGAAAAGAACTGAGCATAGAGACTTACAGAGTACATCATGAAAGCTACTGCCTTTCACCCAATATAGATCAGAAGTTAATTATAGTACTTACCCTGTTCTTTGTGGTTAGAGCTGTGGCTGGACAACAGGAATAGGAAATCCTGACAGGTATCCTGATCCAACAACGTGCCGTTGTGCAGGCAAAGGTCAACAATTAGGGTCACAGCTCTCTGACAGACCATGTCATACTCCTCTCGGTCAGAACTCATGCTCTCAGCTGCATCCTCAGCCGTGTGTGCTCATCCAAGGGGACTAACACACCCACACACACACGCGGCAGCCTAGCATGCAGAAGATAAATGCAACTTGTCTCTGTCCTCGGCTGATTCTTCTCCTTCTTCCAGAGTCTCTCAAGTGTGTTTACACACAAACACACTTGAATGTGTGTGTGTGTGTGTGTGTGTGTGTGTGTGTGTGTGTGTGTGTGTGTGTGTGCGTGCATGCGTGTGTTGGTGTATGTTTGTTTTTGTGTGTGTTGTGTGTGTGTGTGTGTGTGTGTGCGCGCGTAAACAGGGCAAGATTGTTGTAAGTGGATGAACATGCTGTATGTGTACTAAGGTGTGTGTGTGTGTGTGTGTATGTGTGTGTGTGTGTGTGTATGTGTGTGTGTGTGTGTGTATGTGTGTGTGTGTGTGTGTGTGTGTGTGGGTGTCTATGTTTGCATGCAACAACATTTGTGGACTTAATGAACCACATTTATCCCCAGGTGATATAGGAACACATCTATTACATCACATCTATGCTAAAGAAGCTAGTCAAATGAAACAAAAACAATCATGGGCAGTATGCAATACACCAACAAGCGCTGCAGACTAATGATCCCCACATCCCTTCACCTTCCGTGTTTCTAACCCCCTCTATTCCCATCCCCCCCACACCGTCCCCATCCCATAATCTGGCTGCAACGCTGCCACCACCCCACCCTCAGTGTGCACAAAAACCCTCATAACGACCACTGGGCTTGTTTTTCTCAGGTCGAACGATGTGGCTGGTCCCTGCAGGTCAGAGTGTCTCCTGTGATAAATTTCCCCCGAGCCGAACCACCTCTGATTGCCAGGTCTTGCTGCTCCCACTGACAATCCCCCAATGCTCTGATCGTGATCCCTGAGTGTTTACAACCTCTAATGACGATGGTTTAACTGTGTGTGTGTGTGTGTGTGTGTGTGAGATACAGAGAGAGAGAGGGACAGGGAAGGACAATGAGGGAGATAATTACATAGGCTACATGCAATGTGTAGAAATTGTCACTTACACATGCTGATACACACTCAAATGCCAGTTTATTACATTACACTAGAATTAATGCAGTCTAATAACACACTCTGTTTTTGTTGAAACTTTATGGTTAGTTTGGAGCCAGCAGTTTGTGTTGCTATTGGGTTATATTAAGAGATATTTCTCTTATTTTGTCCACTCCATTTCTTGTTGTCATTGAGCTCGACTAAATAACGGAAATGCCTCTATAAAAAATTTTTTAAAAGTGAACATTATTGTTGTATAAGACTCCATTGGGTATAGCTACATGTGCCTAATAAACTGCCAACTGAGTATAATGTGTTTGTTTTATATACAATTTCCAACTTTACAGCTGTGTATAACTGTGTAGATAAGTGTGAACTGGTTTGTGAAATTGCCCTAATGCATCTGTTGGGAAACTGTAGCTAATGAAGCTCAACACAAGGCAAATACATCTCCAGTAAGCTGATCCCAGTGCTGTTTTTCCATAAACCTCTGTGGACTCAATCCAAATTAATTTCTTATTTTGTATCAGAACATTCAAATACGGTTTTTCAAACCATATCAAGGCTATGAAGATGGGGAAAAGCAAAAAACCTAATTGACTTGACTTTTTTGATGTATTATACTGAACTTTAAATAAATTTACTAATCCCTTAATTATGTTCTTACCAACATAACCATTAATCTAAGTAATTTAATAAACCCTGTGACGAAGAAGGCATCAGAAAATTAGTTCATGCCCAACTAATTACAGAGTGATATTGAGTTTAACCAGATCTTGGTTGACTCCCTTCCTTAACTGAGTTAAACCAGGGCATAAATTCTACACTGTCTACTTTGGTGGGCCATTGTTCTGAGATAACTTAGATAATTGAGAGCTTATCTTAAACCCTCCCTACTCTTCCTCGAAGGTTGGATCTGGGGTCTACTGTGTTTCCTGTTACTGCAGATTGAATCTACTCTTCTTGGCCAACCCTGATTAACAGGCAAATAACAAATTGTTTCTGGCTGCGGGTTTTCAAAAGAGTCAATTACTTCCCTGAGCCTGCTGCAGCTGATACTGAGTCGCCCCCTTCATTTGCCCTGCGGTCTCGTTAAAGCATACAGGTTCGCCGCTACCTGCGTTCGCAAGCTTGGATGTCAAATCAGAATGACTCAATAATTCCCCCCAGTGCTACTAACACGGCCAGTGTAACAGCTTTAATGGTGAAAGAAAATAAACCTGGGGTGTAGCAGTTCTTCCTCGTGCCATTACATTATTTAAACGGTATTGTTCAAGGATGTCCAGTGCGTCAGACAAATAATGCTGCTCTATGTAATGTTTCCTTCGTAACTTAAATTCCATCATTTCGAGACAGCTGGGAAATAACCTGCCATCAAAAAGGTAATGCACCATTACCAAGAAGAGCACTCAACTTCTGCTTTATTCCCCACATTAATAATAATCCTGTCTGTACGCTAAAGTTTGAGACAAACTTCATGTCAAAATGAATACACACTAGTGCAAGGTGAATAATATATACTGTAGCAGACTGATAAAACTCAGCACAATAATATCATCAGAGACAATAATATCAACAGAGGCAGTAGGAGCTGCAAATATCACAGTTGAATCAAATTAAAGAAGAAATATTTTCATTGATTTCTTCATTCAGGGCACAGCGGATGGTTAATCTGCTGAAATGACCACCCGTTATAAATTAAATAGAATAAAACAGTGATTAAACGGCTCAGATTTAGCTGCGTAGAACATTTTATCCTCTTTGTTAATTATTCATGAGGCACAGTTAGAAAGAACACAAAATAGTGTCTCTCCTTTAAATGCATTTCCCTCCCTAAATAATTTAGAGCTGCTGCAGCTACAAAAAGTGCTTTAAAGAAAACAAATGGAAGCTTCCTGTATGCCAGTGGTGGATTAATGTGATAATCAAGACAACTGCTGAGAGCTCGTTATCAATAGAAAAACTTGAGATTTAGAACGTCTCTTTCCGCTGTCATTCGGGATTCTGCTTATATGATATAAATAAACGAGCAAGGGTTGTGATGGTCATATTGATAATTTTGTAGCAGGTGTGGGCATATTTTTCACAGCAAATGAGATGGTTGTGGCACATGAGGTCCTTGGTTTGATATGCAAATCAGCTTCATCTCTGGCAAATCTTTCTGTGGTGACAGCCCGGTGGCTGCAGATGTTGAACTTGATTCATCGTGGCAAATGCATGACAAAGGGTTGGCTCACTCAAAGCTATGCTAATCAAAATCAGCACTTCCAAACTTCTCCTGAGGGCCACAGTGGCAGGACTTTTACAGTACATAGTGAGTGTGCTAGTGTGTGTGTTTTTTATTGTCACGACGTGTTAATCAAAGATTCTCTACTCAGCTGTGGGGCCACAAGAAAATATTTCTATTTTGATTCATAGTTAAGCTCATTAGTAACAGTCTTAAATTGTGTACGCAGGATTTGATGGATGATGTTCTGTATCTACAGTACAACAGATGAAGCAATGATCTGAGAACAAATAGATCTGCCAATGAATATTACACAAGGGCCTTTAGGATTTACAATGAAACACACATGCTATTTCTGTGAGGCCCTCAAAAGGGCTTAACATACTTATGGATATCCATGAGCCATATCACATTGTTTTTCAATAAGGCTGAGTACACAACGCGGTGATGAACAGGAATGACATTAGCTCTGGTATGGATAGGGATCAGCATAATCATTCTGCGTCCAGGTAGATGTGCACATGGCGGTATCTCATCCAAACATGTCCTGAATGTCATTGAGATGAGGTGTTTAATTGAGCTCCTGTCAGCATGGCCCAGAAGAGTGATAGAGTCCGGAAGGGTCGATTCTCAGCAGCCGCTGTCATGCATTTCAATCCTGAGGCATGTAAAATGCCATCAATGTTTCCTCTTCTATATTCTCATAATTGCTTTACAGGTCAACACAATGCAAACCCTCAACAATAGGTTTCCACCCCCTTTGCATGGAAATCAAGAGCACTGGTGAACTCAGTATGTGATGAAAAAACAAGCAACAATGCGTTAATATAACTTATAATGATACTATTAATACCACATTAAATAATTTTTAATACCTGTTTCACAATCATACTGGCCAAAACATCATGAAGACCAGTAGAGGTTACGTGGCTAAGAATGATTTATTATTATTTCACATTTTTTCAGTACTTCCCAGTGGTATAATGATTTACATGGACCCACATACGCGGCAGAAAATTGATCGAAAGATTAACCAATTGAAAATGATTGATTCATTTATGTAAAACTTGAACACTTGCCCATAATGAGTCAACAAGCTTATTAGCAGCTGTAGCTTGCAGTAGTGAGTGTTTGCTACAGGTTTGATGTTGCTGACTGAAATGCCACAAAAAAGTCTCCTGCAGCACAATCTACTGTTTAAACAATCCCACTTTTATTTGAAAAGTGTGTAATATCTCCCTTTAGACTATAACTTACAACTATAAATTAATGATTTTTCAAACTTTTTAAAACCTATACTAAGATTTTACCCAAAGAATATAAATGTTTAGCACTATCTCTGAAATGTCAGGAAATGAGAACATGTTGCTCAGAGGCTGGATAATGAGATAATGTAATGTCTCAACCTATCAGGCTATCCCTGCCAGGAACACAATGAAAGCATTTTTCCTTGTGACTTCTGGAGTAACTTGTTATGTTCACACAATAATTCAGTGAAACAGTTCAGAAAGTTGAGGTCGATTGCATTCCACTAAGTTTAATGCCATTCTTGAATCTTTGTACATCAAGTACAGAGCTACTGCTAAGAGGCGATTAGTGTAGCTTAGCATAAAGACTAGAAGGACGGATAAAAAGCTAGCCTGACTCTGTCAAAAGTTTAGGAACACCAACACCTCTAAAGCTCACCGGTTGACACATTATGTTGTATATTTAATCCGTACACAAACAGAAATGTAAAAAT